TAGTCAATGTAGGTGATTAAGATTCAGCAAACACTCCAATGAGGCACCAGAAGGCTTCTTGCTAAAAACCAACTGAAGGACCTCAGCATTGCTCACCCGGTGTTCCCACTAGACGTCCGCAAGCACAGATGATCAAACACGACCAAGCGCTTAATGTCTTCACCGCGAACTGGCCAGGTCTCTGATCCATACATTAAGACCAGACTTACCGTAGCGTTATTCACCCTACCCTTCACTGACAGGCAGATATTCCGCCGTCTCCATAGATGGTTGAGTCTCTGGAAAGCCACACCGGCCTTGTTGGTACGCGAAGTAACTTCCTCAGTGATGTGACCACTAGTGGTGACACAGCTGCTAAGTGAACCGATCCACCACTTCCAGTGGTTGTTCGATGTGTCGGTCCAGTCCTGAAGCAGTACTTTACACTGAAGATGAAAAGCACATGCCGAAGTGTGCAGCAGTGTTTGCACAGCCACTGCGTCGGACCCAAGAAGAGCTATGTCGTCCGCATACTCCAGCTTTGTCAGTCGGTCACCTGGTAGAACTTCCAGTCCGGTAGAGTCTGAAAGAACGGAGTCCACTCATATCAAAGTTGAAGAGGAAAGGAGATATAAAACAACTCTGGCGAATTCCACTTGTCGTCGGGAACTCAGGAGACAATTTCCCGTAGGCCCTTACATGGCGTCGGGAATCACGGCAGAGATGCATAAGAAGGTAAAGAAATTTAGCCGAAATGCCCTTCATGGATAGGAAGTGCAACAAGCTGGCGCGATCAACATAATCTAAGGCAACTTTCAAGTTAAGGAAAACCACCATTGTCGGTCGTCTGTATGTGTCTCTGCTCCTAAAAGCGGCGAAGAGTAAATATGTGATCGAAACACTCACGCTCAGGGCGGAAGCCAGCCTGGATTTCAGTGATTCGGTTCTCACGGGGACCAGTAAGTCGTCAGAGAATGATACATGTGACGAGTTCGGATGCAATGGAAATAAGGCTGGTGGTTTGACGATTTTCACACAAAGTAGTCTGACCCTTCTTGAAGATACGCCTGACAATGGACAGTCGCTAATCTGAAGGAACCTCTTCCGTGTTCCAAATCGTGTTACACAGAGTAGCGAGTCCAGTCAACATAGGGTCTTCACCATCTTTCAGCAAAGATGGAAGAAGGTTGTTGAGTCCAGAAGCCTTGTTTCGTTTCAACACAGATAGCTTATGTCAGGTCTCTTCTAAATTGGGAGGTGTCACATCTGCTTCCCATGACGGCTTAGACGATTCGACAAGTGTTAATGTCGTAGCAGGTCTGCTGAGTTGCTCTTCAAAATGTTTCGCCCAACAGGCTAGTCAACGACGCCGAGAATGGATCAGCTGACCGTTTTTCTCAGCTATTGTCTCGCTGACGTATGGTTTTCTCGGACCCGTGTTCCGGGTGAGCTGGAACAGAACTCGGTTGTTCCATATCACGGGCCCTTGCGATCCACCAACGTTCCCGGTCGATTCGAAGACTCCTTGCTGTGCATCGTTTCACAGTGTTACGGAAACGCTGAAACTCAGCGCCATGGGAACTTGTTTCCGTGCGTTGATCAAGCGGATCGATGCCTCAGAGATCCATTGGCAATTATGACGTCTCAAATTGGGTGCACAGTATGCGTCAAAGGCATTCTTCATAGCACATTCAAGAGGATTCCAGTCAGTGTTCGGCTCACCAACGCCATTCATCACTGACAATTAATGTGCCAGTTTGTCATAATATGGCTGAACTGCAGACTGCGAGTTCATTACAGGTAAGAAGGTTAGAAGATAGACGCACTAGAGCATGGTCGAAATCCAGACACGTAGTCCAAATTGACCGAGAATCTTGGACTGATGTGCGTCATCTGTAGCTGATGGCAATATGGTCAATTTGGGTCCAGATCATGCAGGCATTCGGTGTGAACGTTTGTGTTGGAAAGCAGTGCCGCTAGGATAAATGTTGTGGTCGGCGTACAGTTGCAGGAATCGATCACCATTGTCTGTTCGGCGTACATCGACTCCGAAGCGCCCTCTTAGGTGTTGCTCAGACACTGAAAGACGATCCACTTGGGCGTTTATGTCACCAACAACCATCAAGATATCGGTATTCTTCGTCATGCGAAGATGAGAGCTGTCGATAGCAATCTTCTTTGATACCCTCTGAACTGAATTTAGTAGGGACACAAACCGAGGTGATGAAAAGGCACCTCGGCTTCAGACGATGCTTATTAACTCCAATAGTAGTTCGAAGTCTAACCGCGCATATGCGGCTGTTCACCGGTATCCAGTCGATCAGATTGCCTTCAGCATATTTGCTGAGGGCAATACCAACACTGTCAGGGCGCGCAGATCTAGAAAGGAGGGCGATTAGGGTCATCAACCAAAGCCTTTGGCTCAAAAGCTTGTCTGCAAGGCAGCTGGGAGGTGGCAACGATTCGGTTTTACAGAAATGGACGCCATCCCATTTCAAACCCCCAACATGGAGGACCAGAAGACTGATTTCGTCTGACCTCTAATCATTGACTAACCTGGTAGGAGTGACTCTTATGAGGCACAAGAGCCCCAGTCAGTATAGCTCAATGGGTCGACGAGTTACGCAAACTGTCACACCACGTTAAGGTTTAGTCTAGTCACATTCTGTGGCCTTGAGAAACTGACTCCCGATTATAGCGCAAACTCGGAAGGGACCAATGATCCAAAGGACAAATTGAGCAGCGTCTATGAGCAGCTGATCACTGGAGCATATAAACTTGGTCATTAAATTGCAAAGGAGGCTGAAGAACTTGCTTAACGAGGATGTTTCGACTCTACGCCACTGGGTCAGATCGTTTTCTCACTGAAATAATGAGTTTTCTGGATTTCAATATTTCGCGGCCACCCTGGTAACGTCGAATGGATTTCTAGAAGCGTTTACGTCAGTTGTGTTGTAATTCACTCGAAAGAATCTGTTGGATAGATGCATGTGCGCGTTTCTACATCGCTCCACCACATGAATCAAGACCATCGTTCGAAATGGTGGCTTATCGATTTCTAATCTCCATGCCTCAATCGAGCGCGTCTCGAAATGCACAAAAATGAACTCTAACAGTAAGGTTCAGCCCTCATAAGCATGTCGTGTGTGCAAATCTTGTTGCTAGTTTGATCTGGTTCTAGGTGAACACGTATGATCCGGGCGACGAAACGTGGTGGATCCAGTTTCATAAAAATAAACAAAGGCAAGCAAATGAGGTTGAACGCAAAGGAGAATACAGAGAAAACATAATCAAGAAAGAAATACGTCAAGCTAATCGGAATGGAATGAAAATGAATAGCTAGATGCATGAAACCGAAAACAAGAACGCCACTGACTGCGCGAATGCGCCATGTCTGGTAATCTTTAGCTACTGGTGTGGACTGTCCCGGAGCTCGCATCCACGAATACGGCAGCATGCACCAGTCTAACCAGGTCTCTCAATCGATTTCTGCATGCCTTTATGCCACGCCATCCACTGGCCACCCCGCAGTTTTGCCCAATTTGGTTCAGCGACGACAAACAATGCACACAGAGGGAGCCGGTCGACGCATGCGCTGGTTGCAAGCAACAGGAACGCTCAACAAACCTACTCAGAAATTGAACAGTATCAAGAAAGCTTAGAGTCGATGACAGCGTCCTCTTCGAATACGCGCAATTGTATCGAGCTACTTAACGCCTACAGGAGGAAACAAAGCTGTGCCAAATAAATTCCAGGCTACGCTTCGATTACCAGACAAGAGCCCGTAACCTTAAGAATTACAAGCCTGCCTTGTAATCCTAAGGCGCGGGTTCCAGCATGCATAGGGACCAGGCGACTCTCTAAGTATGCTCAGTTCACGTGTGACTGGTGGTGGTTTCGCAGCAGCGAATCTCCAGTACTGCGTACCGACGTACTGCTGACGTCTTATTAATCTATTCACTAGGCGGCTGTGCTAGTAGCATCCAGCTGACCATTAAGCATCAGCGTCACTCTCCTGCTCTTCGGGTCTGTTGCAATCCATTTAAAGTACTACATTGGAAAGAGTCAGAAATCTCAAACCCGTGTACCACACACAAGAGTAGACGGATTTGTAAAATGTATCTGGTTCATCGCAATTAGAACGCAAGCCACAAAGTCGATTACCAATCCAGGAAAAGCACCGGACGATGAAGCAAATAAATGTTTTTTTAAACCCGACTACTTACAAGTAATTAAAAACTACGCCACACCAGTCCACGAAATGTCGGATTCACGGCTACTGGCGAGAGAAATACTAAAACTTGACAGTCAACGGGCAGTAAACTACATGGCAGTGGGTCGGGCTAACTCCATGCATTACAATCCTCGTTTTTCACCATCGTGGTATCGATCCACTGGGCATGACTACTACGTGATCCTTAATGTCAACACCTTTGCTCCAACTCGGATCACGCTATGGGACAAATGATGGCGAAGATGGAATCCGATCTCATTCCCTGACACCAGTGTGCTCTTCAGCTCCTCACTTTAGGGTACTGATCCGGCAGCTTAGCTAGAGAGCGATAGGATGGAAGGGTCTGTCTTTCGTGCTCCCCTAGTATACAATGGTCCATACCTTCTTTTATCACGGAGGGAAGCTCGTCACCACGTTATGCGATGAATGTCGGTGGAGTCAGCCATAAATTTGATATTTCCCACCTTCTAATAGGCAACTCAGCGATCTGTGAAACACCACGGAGCGCCTTCAACACAAACCATTGATTTGGTCTAATTCAACATATTTTCTGTATGGTGCGTTGGCAATCTTGGTTACAAGAATTTACCTTACGGGATAAACACTAGAAACGTTCACTCAAATAGCGGCCAGCAATGAAGCCTACGTAAAGTCCAGTGAAGGTATAGTTGAGCGAATATCAATATTCAAGCGCTGATACACGAAGGTCTCTAATAAGCATCGGAGATTAAGTAAAATGAAAGATATGCGGAAGCATTGAACAAGGCAGGAGTTTTGGAGAGCTCACCTGATAACGTTCCAACTCCGCTAAAAGCTCATCTTCATCGTATTCCAAACCGAAGGCCCCAGTGTTGGAAATAGCATCCGAGATCTCTTCGGCAGCGGCACGATGATCCGCGATCTCATCCATTATATCGTGGACGTTATCAACATTCCTGTGGGAGATATATAAATCTAAGCAAGGACTTACATGTTCTTTTGTAGGTTTTTCAGCGTTTCAGACGTTGATTTTAACGCGTTGAAAACCTCGAGGTTCATCCCGGCATTGTCTAGGGCTTGCATTTGGCTTTCAATAACGAGTAAGGTATTGTCGAATTTCTGCAACTGCCTTTCGTAAAACTTTTTCTTAGCTAAAGCCTTTAAAGCCTCTTAAAAGCTTGTTATTAATCGGTGTAACTTACTGTTCTTATTCTCCATTCCATACTTCTTTGCAATGGTTATTTCCTCTTGGATTTTCCTCTCATATAACTCAGACTTCTTCACCAGTAAATCTCTTTTCTCCTCCAGATCCCTAAGTGCCTCTCTTGTGTTTTTTGGGTCGGGCTTCTTAGCACCGAAAAATTTCTTAAAGCTGCTCATTAGCGACGTCAAGCAAGAAAAATGTCACGAGAATTGAGCTGAGTAGGAACGGAAGGCCAAGGCGCTACAATGGAGGAAAACAAGATTTTACTAACAGTTTGACAACGAATGGTAAGAACTACTAAGTCGCGATTGAACTCAGAAAGAACGAGAAGAGTGAACGACAAAATGTGTGTATAGGGAAAACCTACAGATGTATAAAAAGGTGACAACAAAGACCACATAAGCACGGAAATAGAGACTAGATTAGTGTATAGAGGGATACCAAGCATATTTCGAGAGTACACGGTTCAAAGCAGTCATTATAATTGGGATAGGTTCGGAAGGAAGAAACGCTAAAAGAATAAAGTATCATGCAAAAAACAGGTGCGCGATTAAGAAAAGTCACCAGGTTATCCTCTCTGATGAATGGACTCCGTCCGCGATGTGCCTGGCGGTTCAATGCCAACGGGGAATAGGGGGCGCCAAGGCCAAGTAGCAGTCGAAATCAGCAAAGTTGTTCGGAAAAAAACTAATTTGTTGTAACTTATTATTAGTCGTCGTGCTGTGGATCCCTGAAAGTATGTCTATTTTAAGAAGAAGCTCATCAAACAAAGCGGGTCAAGTGGAAAGGACTCTGGTTAGCGGATGCATCAGTTGAACAAATGCAACTGAGAAATCACAGCACGAGTATTGCGGTAACAAGCATGCCATCCTTAAAGTAACGGTGTAGGAAGACGTAAATGGGACGACTGATAAAGTCGCGGATATCTGGTGCACGACACCATTGTGCGAGGTCACTGTAGACTTCGATCTGCGACTCGCTCTGTCAAATGTACCCGTTCAGATAGTGTTGCTTGTCCATTGATTAAGTTCAAAAATAGGATGGATCTGGAGTTGCGTCAAGTTTCGAGGCGTATCGACAGGTGTTGCACTGAGAGACGTAATAGTTCGGGGTATCATGAACCTCATTGAAGAAGCCGAATGTACTTCAACCGTAGCACTTGGTTGGATGCCTGAACACATGTTGGGAAGTTGCATCACTGCTGGCGGGGCTGTTGGAGACGAGATTTCGATGCTCATCTCGAGAGAAGGCCTCGCTTTTTCTAGGCTGAGGCATTTGTGGCGTCGCCACGACATTCGTCTCCCCATCAAAGGGCGGGTCTATTGTGCAATTGTTCGTGCTGTACTGTTGTACGGATGCGAAACCAGGCCCATTCGTAAAGATGACTTGCGCAGGTTATGCGTCTTCGAGCACCGCTGTCTGCGGTCCATTGCCCGTGTGTGGTGGTAGCACCACGTAAGCAATGTGGAAGTTAGACAGCGTGCCTTGGGACGTGGAAGCCACTAGCTCGAGGAGCTCATTTCACTGCATCAACTGCGGTGGTTGGGACACGTATTGCGCATGCCTGTCCAGCGTTACCCCCGTCGTGCGTTTGCACTTGCTGGACAGGGCTAGAAGAGACGGTCTGGTGGACAGCCTACAACATGGAGAAGCCGCATGAAAAAGTTGACGAAACAGTTGGCCTCGGCCGGTTGTTGTCGACTACCTGGTTGGGGTCCGAGAGATGAGGATACTTGCTGGTCGAAGACCTTGGAAGTTATGGCTCAAGATCGATGTCAATGGCGGACGTGTGCTTCGGTTTGTTGCGGTGTCCCTTCTTCCTCCCCCTAAAAAAGAACAAACTGAAAAAATTCAAAAACTGTGGGTGGTAAAATAGACAAAAAAGCATTTGTTGTTGCTCTTTTCTTATTATTCATATTGTTTTCCTATTCAGCCAAGAATCCGATGGCACAATATCTGTACCACAGATGATGTGATTTCGTTCCGAACAGTGGAGAGTGACTGACTGCAGTTCAAATAGGATGGAAAAAAGGAAAATAACTGCATGCATTCCCTTTTGTCGAAAATGAGAGGAACATGCGGTTGCACTGATCATCGGTAACAGGAAAGCCAACAGGCGAGGATCACACCACACCCGGTCGGTGGCCAAAAGGATTGTGCGTCTGTCTTGTAATCCGGAGGTCACTAATTCGAATCCACGTACGCGATGTCAGCCGCGCGATATATCCAGTCCACGCGAGACCGGTGATGATCGTGTGGCAGAGAAGCGTCGTAATGGTGTGCCGACATACCGCTGGTGCAATCACTCCACAAACAAGCAATTAGTGTTTGCGCATCCTGCACTGGAAGTCCTTACAAGGCCAGCGAAGTAAAACATGGAAAAATTGAGAAAAAAGAAACTAAGGGCAAGATACTACAATCCAGCAACACTCACGGAGTGAAAGATAAGCCTACTGCACAGTCATAAAATCACGCTATTAAGAAAGCTTGGAACAGCAGGTTAGTGGTATTGAGTCGATTTTTGTACTGGTTCATAGCTCGTAACAATACCGTTCTCAAACAAAAAACACCAAAAACCATGTGCCTGGTGTAACGAAGGCAACTCAGTCAAAGTTGATCTAGTCGGATGACAGCGAAAAGTTTATGACGGAGTGGGGTGGAAAAGACGGGTTAAATCCCGGCTGATGGCCCTTGTCAATATGAGAAAAGTGAGGTGTCGTGTGGTTGGTTAGGTGGCGTAAATAAGCTTTACAGGTTAGGACAGACTATCCATCAGGTGCCTCGAAGGTGGGCAAGTTGCTCCGATACGAAGAACAAACAAACTCCTGATGATCTGGCCACCGCAGAGGATAAGCAACGGTGCCCTATCTGCTGCATCGAGCAGGGTGGACACGGGTTTAGATGCTACTGCTCAAGCGATCCCGTCTTCTTACTTCCTCTCTTACGCTTTTTCTCCCATATTGTCCCCTTCCAACCATTTTATCACCCCCATTTTCAAACCCCAATGCATGGCCCTCCCCCACGATATTTTGATAGGCGCTTATCTTCCAGTTTCAAATCACATGCCAACGCGGAGCGTCACTCTTGCACTACGGACAAGCACGTCTAACCAAGCGGTCCATTCCAGTTCATCGGCTCTTATTTGGAGCCCCCGATCCTCCCTCAGTTTGGCATGCCAAGGTACGCACCTTGTTACAGATCGATCAACAGGCAGCACTTACTCGAACATTAGAGATCCTCTCGATCGATATCTGCTGCTTATCGCAAACCCGCCTACAAAACCCGAGCTCTGTTCTCCCTCTGCGATCCCCTACAGGTGACACTAGCAATACTTTCTCATTGCACCTATCCGAAGATGATGCAGCTTTGAGTACCGACCAAGCCGGTGTTGGTATTTCTCTGAGTCCAAGGGCTGAAGCTGATCTGGTTGATTGGATTCCAATCAGTAGCCAGATTTATGCAATGCGATTGGCTGGCTCGTTCAACGCTTCGAAGTCGCGTGGGACTAATAGGTATCTATTCGCCATCGCTGCCTACGCCCCCGCCAACTAGCGATGATACGATAAAAGACGACTTCAATAGCTAACTGATCGAGCTCCTTCGCCACAGAAGAAACATGGACACTGTAGTGCTGGCTGAGGATCTGGACGCTCAAGTTGGGAAATCGTCCAAATGAGTTGTATCTGGGCGGCCAACACGGTGTAGTCAAGTCAATGTAAGCTTTATATATCCCAGAGGGTATATTGTCAGCATTTTACAATATCCAATGCGGATATTTTAAATAGCATTAAAAACGCAAAATTGCACAGCCACATAAAAAGGTATTAGGAGTGTAGTGTCAATCAAATAAACGATCCCGAATCTGCATTCGATACGGATGACGATTGCTTAAAATATGAAACGCCTTCTGGTAACTTCGCGCAGAATCTCAAAGTCCATATTCAAAAACCGGCAGAGACAGTGTTGGTGAAATTGTAACTGATCTCATCATCATCATTATACACATCAGTTAGAAATGAGAAGACACCTCCGCTATTGTGCCGCAATACAGGAAAGAAATACATACATACATATAATACAATACACAAAGGAAAAATAGATACAACAGTTGCATGCCAGCAGAGCTACCAGCAACGGATAGGCATCGTTCCGGTAAGCTTCCAGCCAGCTAATAAGCAAAAAGAAATTTTTATTATTATTATTTTGTTTTACCCTAGGAAATGAGACCGTAGATGCAGGGGGAGACTAAAAGGGATGGGGAGGGACAAAGAAACTCACAGCACGAACGCCACTGAGGTCGGCTCCTTGCCATGTCAGCAAGTGTATCCAGCCAAACGTGTTCACCGTCTTTCGGACCCCAACCAGGGAGCCGTGACGCTCCAACCGAGGCTAGCTCCGAAGTGATGGACTTCATTCCTCTGGACCAAGTCATCGCTTGGCCACCTTTCCTCTTCTTCCACCCACATCCCCGGTGAGCAAACAACGCACGTCGAGGGAGTCGGTGGGCTGGCATGCGTAACACGTGGCCGAGCCATCGGAGCGTGGTGCGTGAAATAACGGTGCTGAGCGGTTCAGATCCTTTTACTGTGCCGTAAACAATGCGTCGAACACGCTCGTTACTCACGCGGTGTTCCCACCAGATGTGAGCCAAACTGCGAAGGCACCGATGGTCGAACGTAGCTAGCCTCTTCAAGTCCGCCGACCTTAGGGGCCAGGTTTCGCAACCGTACAGTAAGGTCGAACGTACCGCTGCATTGTACACTCTACCCTTCAGGGCAAGAGTGATGTCGCGCCGCCGCCATAGGTGGCGAAGGTTAGCAAAAGCACTCCGAGCTTTCGCTATACGGTTCGTGATCTCGTCTTCGATCCCAAGGGCGCTGATACAACTTCCCAGGTAATTGAATTTCTGAACGACTTCCAGCTGATCCCCACCAAGCGTCAGCGCAGGAGGCGATCCCTGCCAATCTTGGAGGAACGCTTTGCACTTCGATGGTGCAAAGCAAAGCCCGAAGCGGTTGACAGCCAGTGCTAATCTGTCCAGCGCGGCTTGGCACGTCTGGGAGCTGTCACAGATGAGGGCAATGTCGTCTGCATACTCCAAGTCAAGAAGTCGTTCTCCTGGGAGCAGATCCACACCTTCCAAGTCATGTCCTGTAAATGCAAACTCCATGACTTC